GCCCTCATCCCGGAGGGATCCCTGAGCCAAACCGGCCGGGGCCGAGGCCGCTGGAGCCGCTCTGCAAGCGAACATGGCAGCAGAATGAGAAGGCTGGCGTCGCGTCTTGGCTGCTGCCGCCGCCGCCACCGCCGCGCTGCAGCTGGAGATCCGCGCCCGGCACCCTTCGAGCCGCGTGTTTAGCCGGCCTCCTGGTGGCCTCTGGATTATTTCATTCCGGGCTGAGAGCGGGAGAGAAAGAGGACCCGCAATTGAGCCGGTCCGGGCACTGGCAGCGTGTAGAAGCTTGTGCGTGCCACTAGCCGGCTGCGGAAAATACGCGGGAGAGAGCTAGACCCGGGCTGCGGGGGCGCGGGCGCGGGGATGAGCCGACCATGGAGCGGCCTTCACGGGGCGCACGGAGCTGGCCCGCGCTGCGACAGGGGTGCCGCCTGAGCCGGGGTTCCGCGGGGCTTCGGGGCCTCGGGTGCCCTGGGTGGGTCCGCGCCGCCGCCTCCGGGAAGGACAGAAGCCCCGCGTGGCGGACACTGCAGCAGTTGCTGTACTGAGGCGCCCCGAGTCTGCTCCGCCTGCGGCTGAGTGCGCTCTCGGCACCCGGGCGCCTTGCCCAGGGCACGGCGGCTGGCGCACCGCGACGAGCCGGGTGCTGGACTGTCTAGAGGGGTGTGCGCGTGTTGAACTGGAGAGGTGAACTAAAGCAGAACCAGGCGGACCGGAGCAGCCATGCTTCCCGGGGTGGGCGTGTTCGGCACCAGCCTCACGGCCCGTGTCATCATCCCGCTGCTGAAAGACGAGGGCTTTGCGGTGAAGGCGTTGTGGGGCCGCACACAGGAGGAAGCGGAGGAGCTGGCCAAGGAAATGAGCGTTCCCTTCTACACCAGTCGCATTGACGAGGTGCTGCTGCATCAGGACGTGGACTTAGTATGCATCAACCTGCCGCCGCCCCTCACCAAGCAGATCGCTGTCAAAACCCTGGGTGAGAGACCCCTCCCCCTTCCTGCCTCTTCTCCTTGCCTTCCCTGCTGCTTTCCTCGTCTAGCCCCCTCTTCCTCCCAGAAGCTTACATGGCCTTTGCGCTGACCTGGGGACCTGAGATCCCACATCCTATTCGGAGCGCTTTCCTCCCTCATCCCTGGCCCTCCCCACCTCTACGCTTCCCTCCTTCCTTCTGAAACCACCTGGACGCGCTTCCCCACGTGTGTGGTGCGGAGGCTGGAGAAGGCGTGTGTTCCGGGGATAGGGATGAGGCGGAGCAGATGCTGAGGACTGGGGATGGCTGCTCTGAGGGAGAGAAAAACTATGTCCCCAGCTCTGTGTGTAGTGCCTGACTGTGCGTGCGCGCCTGTGAGAGGCGAGTGCGCGCCCAGGAACGCTTGAATAAAGGGCCCCACACAAATCTCGGTTTCTCCGGGGGGCGATAGATGACCTGACATTTAGCAGCTGTGGCGCCCTGCTAAGATAGTATGTTTTTTTCCGCTATGAGTTAGTTTAGTGTGAAATTAGACATGTGACAATCAGCCGGAAGGAATGATCTCGTCTTCACTGAAAGCAAGGACACAGTGGGAATGGTTAGATGGCAGGGGATGGGAGGCAGATCTACTGGGATGTTTTCAAGCTTCAGGGAGGTTCATAGGTTAGTAAATTGGTTAGATAAAACCAGAGGGCTTTAACTTTCAAGTGCAGCAGCCCAGGAGTTGTCTTCTGGGCAGACTGGGAGTCATATATCTTCAGTTTTTCAGGGGATAGGTGCAGTAGTTCTAGAGGCATAGACAGATGTTTTGTGTAGAAAAATGCCCAAAGGCTGCCAGTTTCACTTGGAAGCAAGCTGTGGTTCCTCCTGAATTCCAATCAGGAATAGTTCCCAGGCTTTGTGTTGACAAGCAGTTTGGGGATGAGCTCACCAACCTCACCATCCAGTCCCCCACCCTAACCTAGGCAGTCTGAACAATCTCATAGTACCGTACCAACATCTCTGTCATGCTCAGATAAAGTGCATGTTTTGTCCACCAGCAGTACTCACACACCTAAGACAATCCCAGGAAGATTGTTCACTCCTTACTCTCCTGAGAAAATTGTTGGAATTTTGTTGGTGAAGAAAGAGACAGCACAGGATGCCACGTTAGAGAAGAATTACAAGGGAAGATCTGGGAAGGAACAGGGAAAGCACACAGAAACCAATGGTAATTTATGTAATCTTGAAGAGATGTTTTATTTTTAAAAACAGGCATGGATTTAGGGTAGGTGAAATGGATATATACATTTTAGTTCTATCTTCAGAGAACTGTTACCAGAATGCAGAACTCTTTCTCCCTAGAAAACTGTTCTTATCAGGTTATTCTGCTGTTGACTCAGATGGGACATCTGATATAATCGGCTTCCCAATGCTGTCAGTTTTCAGTTAATTTTATTAAGCTTCCAACCTTTGCTGTCTGGTTTCTTTGGTCTTGAACTGAATGTCACCGACTAGTATTTCTTTTCTATTTCACAAAGCATGTGTTGGGTAGTTAACCTCCGTGCTTACAATGGATCTGTGCATATCAAACAGATTATAGCCATTTTATATCATGAATCTATTAGGACAATTTGTATAAAACAGGTCCATGTGGAGGCAGATGTCTACTAGAGGGCATGTGAGTGGTCATGTCAGAAAGATCTTGTTGTAAGTAACATGGCTTCTCCCCTCTAGGGCAGCACAAGTCTTGCAGGTCAGACCCATAGAGCAACCCTAGAGCATGTTACCAAGAGAGTGGCAATTTGAGGAATAAGGATGTTCCTGTTTTCTGACCATCAATGATACTTTAGCCATTAAAGTTTTTTGGGGCCATGGCTTCGAAAAAAGGTCACAAATTATATATTTCTGAATACTTTTTCCGTTCTTGTTTCCAAAGATCATATTTTTTTTCCTCAATAAGACTAACGTGAGGTACCTCTTCAAATCCAAGCATAAGAGACATATGAAATACTTAGTTTAATGCTCATGCCTAAGGAATAGGGTTTTGCTCATGTTTTCATGGTAGGTTTTAGGCTATTTTTTTTTTTTTTAATTCTTGATTTTGTAGGTAATTTGAGGTTGTCTGTGATTATAGAAAAAAGAGGCATTGGATTTCGAGGTGGCTGGACTATAGTCTTGTTTCAGACTTCATCACTACTGGAAAATACCCAGAGGTCACTCTCCTTTGAGTTGTGCCTGCAAGTACACCGCAAGGTGGTCATCTGGGTTTATTTTGCTGTCACTGTGAGAGGTTCGACACACACAACACAGGAAGTGAAAAACCCCAAACAGTTGTCAGGCTGGTCTGGCCGTTGGAGGTTTATAGATGCTAATGTTTATCTGGATTTGAGACAAGCCAGTCTTGACTAGTCTTGGTTGAATTGTCCTTTTAGCAAAGGCCTAGGCTGTGATTGCTTGCCCAGCAATGGTGAGAAATCTGTGGCTCCCAATCCATACTCGTAACAGATCACAGGACTGTCAAGGTGAGGGGCTGGACTAGGGACCCTAGAGGAATGAAACTTGGAATCAATTGAATCACATCTTCCTTTATATCCCTACCTTAGTGAAATAGTCATTGCTTTGTGGTAGAGACTTTTCTATAATGTATAATTTTACCATTTCCAGGGCCGCCTCTTGTTAAATACCTATTATGTGCCAGCCAATATGATAGGTTCTGTATACAAAACATTTCCTTCCATGATTAAAATAATCCTCTAAGATAGATATTAGCTCCATTGTACGAATGAAGCAACTAAAATTTAGAGACATGAGTTGAATTGCTCATGGACATACAGGCAGAGATTTGAATCTACCATTCCACCTCCCCTGGAATCATTTTCTTCTCTCCCATACCCAGACTTGCTCCATTGCCTCGGCTTCTTCTCTCAGATAATGGCAGCCCAGGTAAGTTTGTTGGAGTTATCTTTTATTCCTGTTTACCCCACCCATGGAATCAGTTCCCAAATCTGATTGATGCCAACTCCTTAATCCCTCTCGTATTTATTCCCTCTTCTGTATCATCACTTCCTCCACAGTAGGAAGTAGGCCCTTATGTGGTTTCTTAATTAGGTTCTAGTCAGCTCCTCCCCACTCCTGCCTCTGTCCACCTTTCACCCTGCTGCCAGAGTTACCTTGAAGAATTATGGACCTGATTGTGCCACTGCTCTCCCCTTTCATCACTTCTAGGAAAGCTCCAATTTCCTGGCATCACAGGCAAGAGCTGCTGGCCATTTTGGAACCCCATGAGCTTTAGCTAAGCCAAAAATACTGTTGTTTCCTTGAATAATCCCTGTTGGATTATATGTCCATGCCTTTGTCAGGAACACCCTTCTGCTTTGTGTTGGTGATGGATGCTATTCCCTCTTGAAGACTCAGCCCCAGTGTTATTTCCTCCAGAATTCTCCCCCTTTCTCAGTCCTGTTCCCCTGCAGATCCTTTTGTGGTCTCAGCACCATGGGCTGCCATCTTTCCTTATACCTATTTTAATGCACTTGTTTAAAATTTAAATTTCATTTAGTTATTTTAAAAAGGTTGTATATTCACGTGGTCCAAATTTCAAATGCTGTAAAAGTACACACTGAAAAGTAAGTGTCTCTCAGTTTCTGTCCTTCAACTGAAGGCAGTTCCTGTTACCAGTTTTTCTGTCTCCTTTGAAGATTTTTCTAAGTATGTATATAGTATTTCACTGTATAGATAAGTCAAAATTTATTTAACCAGTTCTCTATTACTCAACATTTAGATTGTTTCCAGTCTTTTGCTTATGCAAACATGTAATGAATAATCTAGAGCATATGTCATTTTGCACACATGCCAGTCGGCTTGTAGGATATATACGTGAACTGCTGGTCAAAAAGTGTGTGCTCATTTCATTTAACAAAGACATTGCCAAATTAATTGGCACATGAAATGACACTGTTGTCTGTTGATTTCCTTTCTCTCCTCAAGCCCCTTGATTGCCAGGTGCCTCACCTTTGTATCCAGAGCTATATGGCATGCAGGGCCCAGCATAATTCCCCAGCCAGATTTGATGACCTCATTTGTTCTGCTGCAGCGGGCCACCCCATCTAGACTATGCAGCGAGCTGCCTAATTGCCTCCTTAGGTCCACTCTTGTTTCTTACCCAGTCTATTCTTTAGACAAAAGGTAAATGACACATATATGTAGAGCACTGTGTCATTTCCTGCTCAGAACATTTCAGCGGCTCCCATGGCACTTGGAACAACATTCAAGCTCCTCGTTGTAACTTACTTGGTGTGAAATGGCCCTGGCTAGTAATCTCTCTCACCTCTTTGGTGACTACGCACTCTCCCAAGCTCACCACACTCTAGCTACTTGGTCTTCTTTTTTGTTCCTCAAATATACCCACCTCTTTCCCAACCCTGGACCTTTACAAACTGGCTCTTTGCTCTCCCTGAAAGGTTCTCTCTCACTCCTTTGAATGGCTAGCTCATTGTCACCTTCAAGTTTCAGCTCAAATGTTATGTTGGGAGACAGGCCTTTCTGGATCCTCCCCTTCCAATCAAAAGTCTTTTCCCCGTACCTGTCAATCATACCTTTGTCTTACTCTTTATCTTCTTGTTAGCACTATCTCAGTTTATGATCTCTTTAGGTTGTTTGCTTGTTATTTTATTTGCTGTTTCTCTCCTCAACTAGAATGTAAATTATGTGAGGTAGGACCTTTGTTTGCTTTGCTTACTAAGGTGGCCTTATCTCCCCTAGACAGTACCAGGCACTGAGTCAATCACCTAGTATGCACACTATAAATATTTGTTGAATGATGAATGAATGCCTTTTCATTAAATGAATAAATGCTTGGGAGAGACAAACAGTTATAAACAGGATGTGTCAATCAATATATAATATTTTTATCGTGCACGCAGTAGCCCAGTTCTTCTCAAACATTAACTCGTATTACCTGGAAATCTTGTCAAAATGCAGATTCCAGGGTGGGACCTGAGATTCAGAATTTCTCTCCAGGTGATATG